AAATGTTGCGGATGCTCCCTAAGTACCTCACCGCTTAGGCCCTGAGCCAGCCCACGCGTGAACAAGATAGCTCTGGAGTGGTCATCAAGCTCGGGAACTTGTAAGCTAAGCCGCGAAAATTTGTTGATGTATTAGTCAAGAGTCTCATCTTGGTGAAGAGCGAATAAGTCGATGCGCGCCTGTTCCCTGTCATAAACCGGGCCGTACACTTCTCCCAGCTTGCTCTTCAGGTCTGGCCAGTCGGAAAACAGCGTGTTTGCCTCCTGAGAGGCGATAAACCAAAGACGAGCGTTGCCCTCCAGAAAACTCGCCGCGTAGCTCAAGCGCTCCTCCGCGTTGTCCAGCTGCAGGGACTTCATGGCGAGTTCGATGGCGAAGGCCCACTCCTTGAACTCTCTTGTATCTCCACGAAACACAGGCGGAGACTTAACATGGCGCATGCGTGGCCTCTCTCCGCTGGGAGCTTGAGCACGTCTTGGCGTTTGATCTGATCCATCGCACTGACCGAGTGCGATAAGGTGATTCAGACGCTTCTGAATCTCGAATATACCGTAGGCGACTAATGCGGCCACTGCGCATAGCCCGAACATGACGAAAAGAAAAACCATCCTCTTGCTACCAGTGTAACAGTCCAACTAACTTCAGTAGTCATTCTTGGAATAAGCAATGATCCTTGCCATAATGCATTCTTATATACATGAACAAGCAATGATGGACATAACACCTAACAGCAGCAGCGTGATAATAGCAGGTGATAAGTGTATCCTATTCCTAGTGTTAGTAGTAACAGTGAATCTGTTACATCATCCGCAAACTGCAGAACTGTGGAACTGTTGACGCATGAGGGAAGACCACGGACATAGAGGCTGAATAGGATAGGTCCCAAAACAGACCCCTGCGGAACACCCTGCGTACATGGCACGCGTAGCAGGCCCTCTGGTGCAATGAGCTGCTGCGTTCGATCACTCAGGTAGCTTTTAAACCATGCCAGAGCCGAGTCACCAATCCCACAATCAAATAACTCATTCAACAGCAACTGGTGATTGACGCTGTCAAACGCTTTCCTGACATCAGCGAGCACTACGCCAACAACCTTCCCATTATCCAAATCTTTCATCCAGCTATCAATTGCAGCAGCCAGGGCCTCCTCACACGAGTGATATCGTCTGTATGCAAATTGCTGGGGTGGAATAATGTCGGGATTCTCTCTCAGAAGAAGGCTTTAAAATTGGTTGTACACGTGCTTCTCGAGGACTTTGCTAGCGATCGGTAAAAGTGAAACAGGTCGGTAGTTTCGCGGTTCAGAGCGGTCCCCGCCCTTGAAAAGTGCTCTCACGGATGCATGCTTGAAAAGCGCAGGAAACTTACTCTCCTCAATAGATGCCCTGAGAAGAGCACACAGGGAACCTGCCATCACTTCATGACATTTCTTGAAAAGGATCGGAGGCAACCCGTCTGCTCCGGGAGCTTTATGTGCATTGAGATTACGAAGGATCTTTACAACGTCGTAGGCTGCGAGATAGCCAACATAGAAGTCTGGCGATGGGGACCAGATGGGCAGTGAAGGTGTGTCCGAATGGGGTCTGAAACAGTTTGTGCAAATGTGCGGGAGATACCAATGTGATCAGTCCCTCCTAAAGTGTCCTTGGTATGTCTGTGAAGCAGGCCATTGAGTAACTGCCATTGGCCCCTGAATTGATAGGGGGAAATTCACAGCCCTAGGACTCAAAACTGTTCATGGAGTTATGACGCTGCAGGATGCAGCGCCCGGATTACGTCCCGGTGTAACGTTAATCTTACAGCATGATCGCGTTCCAAAGAGCACGAGAGGCCAGGACTGCACAGCCCCTACTACTACAGTGCTTTTCAAAAATGAGCCAGAGGACGCTAAAATATGACCACAGACCAAAAATTCGATTTTCAGTTTTTTGTTCAAAAATGATCTAAAACACCTAATGTTCACTGTCTGAAAGTTTTGGATTGATCGGACATGTCTAAGTGTTGCTACAATGGTATTATGCAGCACTGTTGAAATGGTGAAATTCTATGTACAGCAATGGGATTGTCATTTTTGCACACAATTAATATGCCCCTTGGTTCATCCTTTCCGGGTCAGTTCCTCTGTCCAGAATCTTATAGCATGAGCTGACAGGTACTCAGCCACATCCAAAATACCAAGTTGTCTATAGGCAGCTGAGCTGGGTGTCCGAAATACCTCCTGTTTGGAGCACCACTGGAGAACCGCCAGCGAAAACACGGTCAACATCTGTAGATGGCCGAAGAAGTTGGCACTCCATGTCCTCTCCATCACACTCCACCTGTACTTTCAGATATACAGTATACACTGCTGCACACAGTTTTCCTCGACATACTAGACGTCGCACTCATATTCCCCACACCAAAGCCCATCTGCACACGGTTTTCTCCACTCGCCAGAGAGTACTGCTTTCGCTGCATACTGCTCATGCTAGCGATGTTCCGCATAAGGGTACTCAAATTATCGACTTGAGCAAGTTGAGGGAGCAGCAGAGCCCATTGATTGTTTTTGCACTTGCAACCAATACTGGCATTGTCCCGGATATGTGCAGCGATGTCCATTCTGGCCAAATCATCGGCCGACTCACCTCCCAAGTCAGTGTCGATGCCAATCGCTTGCCAGGTTGTCATCAGAGTAGAATTCCTCGTCACTGCAGATCGTGGGACTACCAGCATCAATTCTTTTTACGCTCGATGAAAGTGTCGCCCTCAAATGACTCGTCGCTGTAGCCATCATCGTCTTCCTTCTGTTTCCGACCCGAATCCTCAAAATATTTTATCCTGCGCATGGAGTGCGATGATGTCGTCTTCTTCCGCTCCGCAGTACATTACTACTACTAGGCTCTTCTGTCGATACATCGATGACGATCAGTTTTAGGCGACTCAGCGCAACATGGAATACAAACTCAAACAAATAAACTTACTTGCAACAAAGAATTGCATCCGGAACAGTCCAGTCGACCGAGGAGAACAACAACAGCGACTCGCGTTGCACTGCACTTCGTATTTTTTGCCGCGGAATTCAATTCGAGATTATCTCGACTTTTTCAAAAAAAGCTGTGGTCATGTTTTAGCGCGCTCGGGCTCAAATATAGACGTGTGATTTCAAAAAAACTGTGAGGCCAGCATCTATACCACACAAAACCTGTGATCACTTTGTGCATATGAGAGTAATTGGGGGGGAAGGACCTGAGCAAAATTCCGAAAACAATTCCCAAAACGTTCCAGCCAAATTTGAAATATTTCAAAAATACCATGCGTCTATATTTTTTTCGAAATGGACTTTAACACACCACCGCCCAACATCTATAGGGTGCAGTGATTCTGATGTTCTGCTGTTCTCGAACCCAGCTGTTGCTAACACATGTGGTACTTTACAAAGTGTGTATATGTTGTATATACAATCCAGTACGGCGTGCGTCTAAGAACGTGCTAAGAGAACGCGGGCAGCTGGCAGCGCTGCTGGCCAAAAAATAAAGGTATATGAACGTCCCGTGGCGCCGGACTACTGGAAGATGACTGTCCGTCTTTGAATTAAAAGCCAGGGGCAACTCTGCAGCAGGAGGTCTGCCAGAAGGGGCTGTGCTAAAGAACAGAGCAGATCTGTTGGTTACGCGCAGCGGGAGCTATGCTAAAAAGCAGATCAAAGCCGTTTGGTTAAAGCACGCAGTCTAGAAGGGGAACACCACTACAAACACTACCATGACGTAAAACGGAACAGAACAAGAAAGCAAGCAAAACAACAAGCAGAGAAGAAGTATACCTAGACCAACGAATAACTGTTGTATCAAAAGCTCCGGGACGAACTGGATTGCTGCGCGGTTAGGCGAATAAGATGCACGGTTGAAATCGAAAAGTGTGATTAACCAAGACAGGGGAAGGAAAGCATGATGTTTTGTCCGGTAAAGCAAAGCATTTTGGTGAGGCGTCGCAGCCAGTGAAAAGTTCAGTTGAAAAAAAAGGGGAAAATGGCAAAGAAAAGTCGGAATCATGCAGCTCTAGAATACCGATATCCTACAGCTTTTGTCCCCTGGTGACAGTTTGACAGTTAAAGGCGCAGATAAGTTGGCAATGTGCTTGCGTTCTCAGGTGCATGTGTGTATATATGTGTGCACGTGAGAAGAGAGCGGGAGAGCAGGAGAGAGAGAGAGAGACCCATAGAGAGAGAGCGAGGGAGTGAGTGAGCGAGAAAGAGAGTGAGTGAGATTGAGCGATAGAGAGAGAGAGAGAGAGAGAGAGAGAGAGAGAGAGAGAGAGAGAGAGAGAGAGAGTGTGTGTGTGTGTGTGTGTGTGTGTGAGAGAGAGAGAGAGAGAGAGAGAGAGAGTGTGTGTGTGTGTGTGTGTGTATGTGTGAAAGAGAGGGAGCGAGTGAGTGAGAGAGCCCTGCTTGGTAACTTGGGGCATTGGTATCAACAGTAGATGCTTTTGAGGAATGCACGGTGCAAAAGCTTGCTCTGTACCTGAAGGATATACACAGCTAGTGAAGGACATGGTCTCCAGGAAAGTTCTTGGGTGCAGAAGTACGTGTTGACTCTGAAATGAATGCGGCATGGTCACGGTTAGTTTTGGGGCAATGATGTCGACTGATGGGATGAGAGAGGAGGGGGAGCGGGGTTATGGATACGCAGACCCACAACACACCGAAAACATCTACACATGCACACACACACACACACACACACACACACACACACACACACACACACACACACACACACACACACACACACACACACACACACACACACACACACACACACACACACACACACACACACACACACACACACACACACACACACACACACACACACACACACACACACACACACACACACACACACACACACACACACACACACACACACACACACACACACACACACACACACACACACACACACACACACACACACACACACATGACAAAGACACACACACACACACACATAACGAAGACATACACACACACACACATACACATACACACACACGCACACACACACATGCACACACATATGCTCACGCACTCTTAGCAGCAGCTGTCACAGCGCACCCAGCCACTCAGCATGCTGAGAACACATTGAGAGCCGACTGACAAGCTACTGAACGTGGATCACAAGGCATTGATTGCGCAGCAAGCGGAGCGCTAATATGTCATGTACCCAGCACAGTGCCCGTCTTGATGTCCATGCCCATGCACACCACCGAACCACCTTCCCTCAAAGCGACCTGGCTGTCTTCATCGACGCCCTGGACAGCGAGATGGAATGGTTGCTCTTGATGCGCCGACGGCCGGTGTAGAACTGCTTGAAGCTCTGCGTGAAGTCCATCTCAAACTGAATGGTATTGTACAGGTGATTCAGGTAGAGGCATGTCGAAGGAAACGGTGGCCTGCGTGAGGTATTGCAGCGACGATGATGACAATGGCGAACGGAACGATCACCGTGGTGAAGATCGTCACAGCGACAGCATTTGCAGCAGAAACACGAACAAAAACAAAAGAACATTAGAAGTGTATGTCACTGCGGCTTTTTTTATGAACGTGCACATGCCTACATAGAATGGAAGAGAACAACAACAACAACAACAACAACAACAACAACAACAACAACAACAACAACAACAACAACAACAACAACAACAACAACAACAACAACAACAACAACAACATCAAGAGGACATGGCTTATACTACGATGGTCAAGTATACCATGACTGCTGGGTCTTGTGGCTGGTGGGGAATTCCCTTTTGACTTTTGGTACATAATGCCCCTCTGACTGACGGGAAATTCCCTTTCTGACTGATGGGGAATTCCCTTTCTGACTGATGGGGAATTCACTCCTGACTGATAGGCAATTCACTTTCAACTGACGGGAAATTCTCACAGGCTCGTACTTCGGAAAGATGGGCAAAGAGAATAAAAGTCGGCGTGGAGACAAGAAACCTAATATGGATGAAAGTAAAATGAGCGCACTCATACCACGAGAACTCAGTGTGATGATTTCTGATGATAATCACATGAAAACGACGTTCACATCTTAAAATATTGTTCCATTGTTCTCGTGGTATGAGTGCGCTCACTTTGCTTTCATCGATATAAAGAGAATAAAGGCTTTAATTAATTTAATTAAAGCTCATCTAGCAGGAGGACTTCGAAGTAGTCACTGAGGAATTCAGGAGACGGACACTTTTCTGTTCAAGCGAATCGGTGTCCATTGGTTGTTGATTGGCTGTGCTTCTTTTCGATATTTGCCTACTTGTATCCGACTAGAATTATCAGCCCATTGTGTATATTTCTGACAATTGAGATCACTACACTAAGTCCTGCAGTCTGGACTAGATGTTTTAGTGATTGCCACGTGGACATACAGACAACTTTGTGCGTATAACGACACTCGGCGGGCATCAGAAAAGTGTCCTTATTTGCGAAGTGTCCTTATACCCGAAGTCTCATTATATGTATTACAGTTAGATTTAAAAAATATATATCTAATTGACCTTTCCACAATATTGTGTTGCATTGTCAAAAAAAATTGAACTTTTTTTGCGTAATTTTCTCTGGGCATGGAAATTCTGTCGTTATTCGCAGGTTGTCGTTATATCCGCAGTCGCTATTGGCAAAGTGACAGCACATCGACAGGAGAAGCACACAGGCATGAATTGAACACACAGACCGACAGCATCAGACTGGGTGGGAGGCGTGAGCAGACCTTTTCCCTCACCTATTCAGAGGATTAGTTTGGCAACACTCGAGTGCTACTTCGAAGAAGTGTTCAGGACAAGTGCCGAGCAAGTCGCGCCGAAATGTTTCCTCGTCCAGACCGAAATCCTGGCACAGGACACACAGTACGAACACACAACACACACAATGGTAGGATGTACGCGGCAGCACGTGCGTTCAAGTGCGCACAATGCACGCACGTACACGCACGCCCACATATCCCTACTCCCCCCCCCCCCCCGCACACACATGCACGCACGCACACACACGCGGACGCCGCCTCGGAATGTGCTTAAACACCCGTACAGATGCATACAACAACACTTGCACCCAAGTGCCCCCCCCCCCCCCCCCAAACACACACACACACACAAATGTAGGCATGGAAAGCACCATCACCCAACTGTATGTGCGGGCACATGCAGAGGTGCACAAGTTGAAGATAACCGGATCATCGCCCAACCACTCAGAGTCCGGAAAAGAACTTTGGACAAAGAGCAATGAAAACAGGCAGCATCATACCAAAGGTGTACTGCAGGGCAATCACTAATCACGCTCCTTTCGGTGTAACTTAAATTTCGCGAATTTCGCTAGAGAAACCAGGTACCGGTACCCAGATGATATCTAGATCACACCTAATGGTCACTATTAGGCATGCATGTGAAGGGAATGCAGGTCACCAAATTCGGCAGTACACCTGAAACCTGTCAGGCTCCCGACACCGGAATTTTAACCCTTTCAGCACGCATCACGTATATGTACGTGATGGTACATGTAACTGGCCCACGGATGACATATATATATATATATATATACGTGATGCGTACAGTGAAAATGAACGTACTCCCGAGACATCCGTGGTCGACGGATCTTATCCCTACGTGGACCAGTGACGTGCTGGATGAACGTCGACTGTTCTACGATAGTACTGACGGGCGCACGTGTGCCGCTATGCACGTGTGCCGCTATGCACGCGTACTAGTACATAGATGTCGCGTGCGAACATGCATTCCGCAGAAAAAATTGTGAGTGAATAGGACTACTTTTGGAAAATCACGAAAATCACTGGTTTTGGCTCCGCGGGTCAGTTGCACACCCTGGCCGTGCTGAAAGGGTTAATACATGTACACCTAAAAAACAACAAAACATGTTCTTCTGTAGAAGCTGCATTGCTGCCAACTCACAGGCAGAGAACGGGGCAGGTAGTCTGGATCAGCTGACACACGACCAATGATCTGCATACAGTGTAGGCGAATAGAACACACCAGAACACCAGAACACCAATTCATACACGACATTACACATCATTAGGCGTAGGTGGCATACGTGGTGACCAATGATCCGAATGGGGAGTAGGCAAATAGAACAGGACAGAATATCAATAGGACCATTCAAGATTGCGCAATGCCAACTATGGATTGCATGAGCGATGCATGTGAGTACGCTGGGATCAGGGATGCACTGTTCAACACCCCACACGACCATGCCCAGGTGGCTGTGTGGGGTGTTACGTGAGTACGCTGGTATCAGCAATGCACTGTTGAACATCCCACACGACCATGCCCAGGTGGCTGTGTGGGGTGTTATGTGAGTACGCTGGGATCAGCAATGCACTGTTCAACACCCCTCACAACCATGCCCAGGTGGCTGTGTGGGGTGTTCGCGGTAAAAATTACGTCATTGCGCAACAGGCTTATTCCAACACACCATTACACACCATCAGGTGTAGCTGGAATACATGGTGGCCAGTGATCTGAATACGGAGTAGGTGAATAAGACACGCAGGAAACCGGGGAGCGGCCTACCTCACACAGAATGATACCAAAGGAGAAGATATCAGCTCTCTGATCGTACGTCAACCCTGTATAGAGGCCATGCACACACACACGCACGCACGCACGCACACACACAGCATAGAACAGACACTGTTGTATGATTGGCGTCACTAGGTCACTGCTCCGACTAACTGCACACTCTAGTCACAGGACTCGGGCAATGCAAGTTGCTTTGTTGAAGTAGACTGAAAGCTTCAGACCCAGTCTCAAGTATATGCGGCTCTTTCAAAATGGTTAAAGACTATAATAAAGAGCCCTGCTTAAGAGAGCACCTGTCGTGAGAGACAACCCGTCTTTAGAGGCCAGCGTAGCTGTGTTTTAAAACTTAAAGAAGCAAACCACCTTATGTTGGTTGGTTGGTATATTTTATTTTACTTCGCCAGAATGAACAGGCATTGCTGCCTTCTTGCCTGGACAAGTGGATTGTCCAAGCTCTCACAAAAAGACGAAGAAATGTACCTCACCAAGCTTCAGCATCTATTTCTATTCACCCCCCAAAAAAAGGAGAGAGGCGAGCAGAAGTCTCCACACATACATGTATAGTGAAACCTGTAACTAAAGACCACCCCGGCTTGGGGCCAGGGAAAAGCGGTCTTTAGTGGCAGGTGGTCCTTAGCTAGAGGTTTGCACCGCACAACCACAATTAGAGTAAAACCTGTAACTAGCGACCACCCCTTGGGGCCAGGGAAAAGCGGTCTTTAGTGGCAGGTGGTCCTTAGTTAGAGGTTTGAGGTTTGTGGCGCACAACCATAATGAATGTGAGACCGTTCGTGCCTGGCGAAGTGGTCTGTAGTACCAGGCTGGTCGCTAGTCACGGTGGTCTTTAGTACCAGACTGGTCGCTAGTCACGGTGGTCTGTAGTACCAGGCTGGTCGCTAGTCACGGTGGTCTGTAGTACCAGGCTGGTCGCTAGTCACGGTGGTCTGTAGTACCAGGCTGGTCGCTAGTCACGGTGGTCTGTAGTACCAGGCTGGTCGCTAGTCACGGTGGTCTGTAGTACCAGGCTGGTCGCTAGTCACGGTGGTCTGTAGTACCAGGCTGGTCGCTAGTCACGGTGGTCTGTAGTACCAGGCTGGTCGCTAGTCACGGTGGTCTGTAGTACCAGGCTGGTCGCTAGTCACGGTGGTCTGTAGTAGCAGGCTGGTCGCTAGTCACGGTGGTCTTTGGTTACAGGGTTTACAGTACATGTACACGTTGATTGGTTGACAGTGTGTGACAAGGCGGGAGGACGCACTGTGTTCAAGACAGTGTGCTCCTGACTACAACCATCATCGGTTGGCAGAGCCCCGGTCTTGCGAGCACGCGTCCTCCGCCTTGTAACATGCTGTCAACCAATCAACATGTTATCCAAGCAAAGCAAGGCTTACCTAATACCATACATGTACATGTATCAAAAGATCTGTATTCAACAAGCCCATTGCGCATTGCCAAATATGGAAGGTATGAGTAATGCACGTGAGTACGCTGCGATCAGGAATGCACTGTTCAACACCCCAGACGACCATGCCCAGGTGGCTGTGTGTGGTACTGTGGGGTGTTCGCGGTACAAATTACGTCATTGCGCAAAGCGCTTAGCACCCAGAGGATGAGAGTTTTACATGCTGAGACAACATGGTCCGAGGCTCACCTTTCATCATCTCCGGTGCCATCCAGTATGCAGATCCGACGGCAGTACATAGCTGAGATCTTCATACAAACAAGCAGACAGACAGAGACATGCAGAGACATGCAGACACACGCACCTCAGACCTCAGACGTGCCCATCGCGGAAGCGATGATAGCGAACAGCTATGTTAGACATAGCAACTTGTGCTGGGATTACACCATCCAACAGCTTGCAAGGCTGATGAATTGACCACCACTATTTTCTAGCCTGGTATCCACCACACAGCTGATAGAAGTGGCTTTTTCTGGCCAGTGAATCCCTATTTTTCATTTTTCATTTTTTTTACACACTCACACCACGCCACATACTCCGGCATACACTGGCTGTTGGTAACCACCCAGGAGAATGAAAGAAGAGCTAGGAGTATGAGAAAGAGGAGAAAGACGCGTGTGACCATAATTGTCGGGAATCGAACCCGCAACCTATCGATTGGAAATCGCTGCACATACCACTGCACCATACGGGACACGCACACAGACACACACACGCACACAGACACACACACAGAAAACCACCAAGACAGACAGACAGACACACGTGCACGCGCGCACACACACACACGTACACAAACATTTAAATCACCACCAGTTCATTGAGGCAATCACTTCACTCGTGCTAAACCTGCACAGCTGGTGAACACAGCCACGGTTGACAACAACAAAGCAGTTGCAACAGGCCTCTACCCCAGACGACTGCAGCATTGACCCGACTTACGATCTCTCGACGCGATTCTTCTCCTGATGAGCCAGTCCAAAGTCTCCGACAACAACCGTGTCATCAAGTCGAATTAGACAATTGTTTGATGTCAGGTCACGATGGATGATCTTGTTCTTGTGAAGGTAATCCTAAAAAGGAACCAGCAACACAAAACAAGGACAATAACCATTGTTCCCAATTTTGACACCTTCTCTTTGATAATAGTAGCAATACAGTGGCAGAGGACAGGTGGAACATGGTCAAGTTCCTGGGTTCACCTGTCTAGTGTAAAATCCTTACATCACTATAACGAAGTGCTAAAAATCTTGATTGAGAAATGAGTTCGAGTTTGCAGAGTGAATGGGAAGAGAGCGAGTCTGCTCTGAAACCTGTTTTTCTATGAATGAAGCTACAGGAAGCCTTACCACTGCTACTATGCTAAAAATCTGTCGTTAACCCTTTGCATGCTGAGCCCCTTTTCTCCAATCCACTGGCTTTCCAGCCCACTGACTCTCTTGGTGGAGTATGCACTCACAGCTCCGAACAAAATTTATTCTCATTTCATTCCACCTTGATGGATTTTCATCATCCTGGGCTCGTTGCAAAGATCAGGACCAAGCGAATCCATCCTGGCAGCTCTCAGCTCCATAAACACATTAGGGCCACTTCCACGTCCTCTCCAAACTACTCCACCGTGCCTCAAAACGGCACAACAACTCAATTTCACATTCTTGTTCGGCGTCTTGCCCAAATTAAACCAATTTTCAAGATTCAAACTGCGCTGCAAGGCTGAGATCCAAGTGCTTCATTTGATGTCCATCACGCATCCGCCGTGCCAAAGGGAAATCCCCTGGCACGCTCCTCAACAAAAAGAAGTCATGAACAAAAATATTCGCGTTCCCTCTGGCCCCGTAATTTCCGTGTTCATCTTGTTGCCGCTCAATGAATTCATATCCTATCGCGAAGAACGTTATATCCCCGGAAAGATGAGGTTAAGACCTTTCCAACGGTGTATTGATTGTCGCGATGCGTTTATGTTTGACGAAGCTGCGACAGTTTGTACGCTGGTCTATGCACTGCGATATACCGCGCGAATTTGTTTGCGAATTAACTCGTACGTAGTGGATCGGGTCATGCATAAAGCGCGAGTTAACTCGTACTCAGCACGCAAAGTGTTAAAATAGAAAACGGTATACAGAAATCGATACATATACTGTTGCTAGTGACTTTAGCTTTTACAGTACCCGAAACAGAGCATAAACAATAGCTGGAAAAGCATTCAGCACGGCCAATGCTCAAGAACAGTGCCAGCTTGGGATATCTTTCTGAGCACTAACCATTCCAGTGGAGATGTCGGATGCAAAGCCGACTCGCAGAAGCCAGGATAACTCCTCCTCCTGGTCACCGGCAAACGCACACGCACACCATGCACACGTGCACACACACACACACACACACACACACACACACACACACACACACACACACATGTGTGCTCAACCGCCACAAGTGCACGCACAAACACAGAAAGCAGGCATGCCGTCACAACGACATCCCCAGCCTGCAAGAACAGAGCAACACTTGCTCAAACCATCTCAACTGGAGAGCAGAAATGAATGCCATGGAGACGGGGAAAGCAAGAGCAACAGAAGTTTAACCAGAGAGCAGCAGCAGCAGCTCCGGTTCTTACCTTGTTCTGTAGACGATCTGCGACAGTACCACCTCCCACATACTCTGCAAAGACAACAACAGACAGCACATTACAGGGTACCTCACTTCAAACTCTCCAACGACGGTTTCTTTGCTGCATAAGTTCACTTCACTTCCAAAACGAGAGAGCTTGGAAGCTCAGGGCCCTACGCTATGCTTTTTTGCCTTGATGACCTAGACAAAAAAAAAGCATAGGGATGTTATAAATTCTTTAAAAAAATCCTCTTTTTTTGAGACATAACCTGGGATTCGAACCCGCACTATCGCGCGCCCTGCATGCATCGCCCGATACATTTCGCATACATACTTAGGTTACGTTTGGTTGGTCACATTCCCAAATGGGAATCACTTGGAATCACTCGGAATCATTCTCGCCCGTTTGGTTGGTCAAAAAAGTGCGTTAGGTTGGTCACATTCCACATGATTCCAGAATGGGAATCGCTGAGAATGATTCTTTTTGGAGAATGGTCATTCCACCTCACATGCTGGAATGAGCATTCTCATTCCGGAATCAAAAATGATAATGGCTGCCACGAGCCAAACAATGTAGCAACAGGTTCAAGTGCCTCAAATCATGCCCTCAGAAGTACCATGACTCTCTCAAGGAAACTAGAGTCGGGTAAAAGAAAAGACAGCCGCCGTTCCACTACGACATCATGGAATTGTTATGTCAAGTGATTCCTAATTGATTCTGGCGCGTTAGTTTGGTCAGGTGATTCTTGCCGATTCCCATTCCAGAATGGTTGTCATTTACATTCCGAAAATGCCCAACCAAACGCAACCTAATTCTTCCAAGTTGTTTCACATTGTGATCTGACGGGAAAAAAGTATAGGATGTTAGAAATTTTTCAATACTCCTATTTTTTCAGGCATGTCCTGGGATTCGAACCCGCACTATCGCCCTACATGCATTCCCCCATACACTTCGCATTTATACCCATTCTTCCAAGTTGTTTCACATTGTGATCTTGCATTTGAAAGCCCTATTTGAATATGCATTGTGGCCAGCCATCTTTGATGGCACGGCACGGTAGGGGATAGGTACGGGACAGGTACGATCGAGGGTAATACGACACCGTCTCCCTACCGTACCGTACCATCAAACACAGCTGGCCACATACAGCTGCCCGCAATATTCAAATAGGGCTTTCAAACGCAAGATAATAACGTGAAGCAACTTGGAAGAATGGTTATGAATGCGAAGTGTATGGGGGGAATGCATGTAGGGCAATAGTGCGGGTTCGAATCCCAGGATATGCCTGAAAAAAAAAGAGAATTGAAAAATTTATAACATCCTATGCTTTTTGCCGTCAGATACGGATAGCGCCAGGCGTGACACAAACAAACAAACACACAAATACCAAATTAAGCTGTGTGGACCCTGGCTAGCGCCAGACGTTACTGAAGTAACGTCTTCTGCATAGCTACGGGAATAAATAATACATATTTTTTGGAAGTGAGACCGTAGTTGGAGAGTTTGAAGTGAGGTACCCTGTAATGTGTGAGTGGCTGCAATGGAGTCTGCGAGTGCTTAGAACAGACAGCACATGGTCACTACAGCTATCAGTTGACTCCCAATCCGTTCAAGTTAGGGGTCGTCCATAAATATCAAACTTTTTTTCTTCACAAAACGAAATAATTTCGTGATGGGGTGGAACGGGGGTTGACCGCTTTCGTTTCGGAAAACAGTGATACACTGAAACAGTGATACATTGCACATGCCAGTAGGAGCAGTGACACACTTGCGGCTTTCTTTGTGTAAGTTGCACCTAAGTATCAAGGTTTTTTTACGTTCTGAGGGGGAGGGAGGGAGGGGTTGGGTCAGAACTAAAATAATTCATTACGTGAAAAAAAATGTTCAATATTCACGGACGTCCCCTTAGTCCAGTGTCTCAAATCGAAAGGCATGGAATATTTCCTGGCCTCAAAGGCTCAGTCATACCGCGGTATAAACAGGAGGCAATTATAATCAAACCCAGTGCGTATCTGTTTTGCATGCCGTGAGATTTTTTCTCCCTGCAGGCGCGGAAAAATCAGTCGGACGGACGTATCCGCATCCACAGGAACGCGACCAGCCTGCTGAATCAAGCTCCGTTTTTTTGCCATGCAATGTGCCTGCAGTGCATCAACACCATAGCAAGAAATCACCTGCATAGCTCAGAAAATAATTAGTGAGTTGTGAAGACTTACCGGTGATGAGATGCAGCTTCTTATTGCGATACATGATACCAACGAAATGCATGACATTCGGATGATCTAAACTTTTCAGCAGCGAAACCTAGGCACACAGAGAGAGAGTGAGAGAGAGAGAGAGAGAGAGAGAGAGAGAGAGA